AGCATTAGTTCCCTGAAAGTGCCTAAACATGGCTTCCAAGCCTGCACTCCATTTCTGTCATGCCAGTGCATTTTGGTGCTTTAAGCACTAAAAAGTTAGTGTGGATAGAACCAAAAGGCAGCATATGGAAACTATAGGAACACAGTACAAGATAAACCTGTATTTAGAGAGCAGGTTGAAATAGTAACTCTTAAAAAACAAGTTGCCAAAGGACAAGGTACCTGCAAAAAGCTCCATCAAATAAATTAATATGTGCTTGTGTAAAAAAGCAACACCTTTGCTCTCGCCTTTTAGGCTAACATAAAAGAAAATTAGATATTGGAAATCATTTGCTGCTAGGACGCATGGGTTTTGTTAGTGTACAATAAAATAGGCATTCTGAAGTATGCTTTTAAGAGGAGACTCTGACCTTTAAGCCATTTTTCTTGGTTCTCTCATCTCAAATAAGGATCCCCAAACTTCTTTTATAGGTCTTGCTGGTTTTAAAAACCATCCCTGGTTTGAGAAAAGAGATTGGGGCTTGGGGTGGGGGGAGCGCAGAAACCAAGTACTATTCCTGGAATTATGGGCCTATTCCCCCCCCCTTCACTGTTTATCTATTCTGTACCACTCAGCTGTTCTCTGTTGCACAGAAATAAAAGTTTAGTTTAAAAAGTATGTTAGAACAAAGCTGCAGAAATTGCCTGGAATTTCCTTCATTTTCAGCCATCTGGCTTTCATTGCTTACTTCTTTCCCCTCCTCCACGTACGTTTACCAAATCTTTTCAACACACACTGGCCAAGCTATCAAATGCTTGTAATTAATAACAGTCATACTCCTTTTTTTTTTTTTTTAAGCTAGTGCTTTTTGGCTTTCCTTAGGCTGCTAATGCCATTGCTAGTATAAACCAGGGAGATGGTTGGTAAAGCTTAATTGCTGAGGTTTAGTTGAATAACAGGGAAAATCTAATCAAATTTTAGTCCTGAATAACAAAAAATCATTTTATTTCAAACTAAAAGTACTTCTCACCAACAAATGAGAGGAAGGGAGAAGAGAATTCTTTTTCTTAGTGTCTACTATGATTTTATTTTAGAGATGAAGAACCTTAGATATAGGACCCCTGAAAGTTTGCATAACTAATGGTGTCAAGGAGGATTTGAACATGGGTCCAAGTCTATTGGTTGGCTTTTGTTTTGTTGATATCAGGATGTAAAAGGTCTTCGTAAATAATAAGTGAAAAATCAAGTTGTCCTGTACAGTCACATGCAAAAGAATGAAACTAGACCACTATCTCACACCCTATATAAAAACTGCCTCAAAATGGATTGAAGACTTAGATGTATGACCCGAAACCACAAAATATGTAGAAGAAATTGTAGGCAAAACACTACATGGCATGTTGGCTACAGAATTTTTTTGAAGTTGACTCCAACAACAAGGGAAACAAAAGCAAAAATAAATGAATGGAACTATATCAAACTACAAAGCTTCTGAACAGTGACGCTATCATTAAAACAAAGACATCCTACCAAATGGGAGAAAATACTTGCATATCAAATAACCAACAAGTGGCTAATAATCAAGAGCTATAAAAAACTCACACCCCTTAAGAAAACAAATAACCCAATCAACAAATGGATAGCAGAGCTAAATAGACACTTTTCCAAGGACGACACAGAGGTGATCAACAATCACATTAAAAGAAATGCTCATCATCACTTATCAGAGAAATGGAAATCAAAACCACAATCAGATACCACCTCACGTCTGTGAGAATGACCCATATCAAAAAGATCAGAAAGCAGTGTTGGTGAGGGATACTACTATTTTTTTTTAAAGATTTATTTATTTATATAAGAACTGGGGTACAGGCCAGAGGTGTGGGGGGTGAGAGAATTTACCAGAGACAGAGTGGGGAGCAGAACAGGTAGACGGATTGAAGACACTGCTGAGGGGAGCAGCGGGTGAGGCAGGGGAGGTCTGCCGCACCATGTGGGTTTCTCCCTGGCCAGCAGGGAATCAAACCAGTGCTGTGGAGGCTGCGGACAGCTTCACAGTGCAGCACTTAAATGCTGCGCCACCGGGGAGGCCCGGGATACTACTATTTTTTTAAGTACCGTAAAAAATGCAGGCAGTCTATACACACAGCCAGTCTAAATGAAATGATCAGAATACTAAGTAAATAAGAAAAAAGTAATGCCTGCTGCTTGAGGAGACACCTGCCTGCTGTGAATAGCTAGGTCTGGGAATATATCTGCCTGAACCTGGCAAAAGCTGGGCATGTGCTTATGATACCCACTCTGCCACCCACACAAAGCAAGTCAGCAAAATCTAAATTCAATCTTAGAAAGATCATTCAGGAAGGGCACGCCTTCTAGAGCCTCTGGTATTCTCCATATGATCTGACAACTCTAGCCAGACAAGAAAAAAAGCAGCTTCCCAACTGAGGTTCCAGAGAACAAAGAGCTGCCTAAGAAAGCTGCTTATCTTAACCAGCAGCCACCACTCAGACACAGAAGTCCAGTAACCAATACTTGAAACATCATCTGTATGTCCCCAGAAAATGCTATATATTTTTGAACACACAGATATCATCATGGACAAAGACTCCATAAGACAATTTATAGCAACTTGGGGCCTATCAGAGGATGCCCCCAAAGGAGCAGTGAACACTGATCCATGTACATATAAGAGTTGTGAATTAAAGATTTAAATTACTGCCAAGTGAACAGAAGTTACTGGGGGAAAAAAAGACAGCATTGTGCCCCTACCAATATACTTTCTCTTCCAGATACAGCTTTTACCAACCTACAGAAGGGTTATTTTCCCCTATGAGATCATACTGAGGTATCCCACAGGCGATGGGCCTCTCTACATTTCTCACTTTTAAGCTGAAAACCTGTTTTGCCTCTTGGATGGAAGAGGAAGAGAACAAGTCATATCAGACCACTTTACTGGGGCCCCTTTTGTTGTTTTAATTAGTGTCATTCTACAAATGCTTAGCTATGTATGGTTAGCCCAAGAAACCCCTGGTTGTGCCCAGTCAGAGGTCACGCCTGTCACTCTGACATTGGCTGGTGAAAAATCAAAGCACTGAGTTTATCTGGAACTAGTGAAATAATGTTAAGCTCAATAAGAGTCCTTGTCTGGGAGTTAGTACAAAGGGCATAGAGTAAATCAAGCTTATCTACTTTAACCACTGTCAGTACTTTGAGGGTGGGAAGTAACACCTTGTGTCCAGTTCTCTGGCTGTCCCGGAAGAACTATAAATCCCAGAAGATTTCCAGCTAGTCCCAGGTACTGAATGCCTCAGCATTGCCACAGCTCATCACAGCATTTGGATGTCATTACAACACTGGAATGTGGTAGAAAAACCCTTATGCTTGTTTTTAAAGTGATGGTAAATAAGCAGAACAGAAATGTCATTAATTACAAGCACAAAGAAGCAACGGTAGCAGTCTCGTACTTCTGCCTACAGGGAAATGCAAAGTCACATGACAGCTGGCCAGGCCTTGGTGACCCCAGAGCATCTAATATAGATGATTTGTTTTGCAGATGTGGAGATACAAAAGAGACGCCACACAGCTTGTGGGTGATAGAACTTAGAGAAAAACTCAGGCATTCTGACCTGCTAGCAAAGGTTCCTACAGGCTGTGTATGCTGAATACATTCTGCTTTTTCCTATCTGGGGAGACTGCTGTCAAGTAGCAGGTGTTTGCACATCTTGCCCATGCAGCTTGGTGACAGGCTTACACAAATGGAGGCAGTGAGCCTCCAGCACAGAGATGCTGGCTCAGGTGGGACATGGATAGAAAAGGTGGTTCCTCAGCCTCCATGTAGAGCATCTGTGCTTTTTTGGGTCTAGCCCTTAATTTTACTTTACCTGCTGCTGTTCTCATGGGTGGGTGCTGCTCCCAGCAATGGTTGACTGATTTTTAAGTTGCCTTAAAATCTGGCACTGGTGACCATTTTCATTCCTGCAACTGAAGCAGGAAGCCAGGCCCACTGTTCTGATCGATATATGGAGCAATTCTTGTGACCAGTGGCACAAATGTCACTGTGGGCTTGTGCTCTGATCTGACCTGAGAAGATCTGTGATCTCTAGCTTCTAAGTCCCTGAGCAAGACATCTGGTTGGCTGAAAAATCACATAAGCAGCACCAGCCTGACCAGCAAACTGCTGTTCATTCCTCAAGGCAACACACTGCTGCTCACATGATATACTTTGCAGAAACAGCAGAGCTGTCTTTCAGAAACAGCATTCCCTTCATGTCTAAGATATGACCTTATCCAGTAACATTTTTCATCTCATCAGCAGGCTTGAAAATCTGGCTTTGGTTCTTTAAATATCTCCCTTTGAAACCAGAATCATAGAGATGGTTTAGCTTCTACAGAATCTTGCTCCAAAGAAGTATCTGAAGGCAAGTCTCTCAAGACACCATAAAATTCTGTGGACTGAAGCAGTGATTGGATTGATTAACTAAGACTTAAGGTTGGGCAATAATGAGAGCCAGGCAGGGCTGAACAATGAAATGCTCTAATTGATTTTATGCGTGCGGAATGATATACACACACACCCCAGAGCATGCCATAATGAATGTGAATGCTGTGTGTACACAGATTTCATAGTGCATCAATTACACCACCCAGAAGCTTGAGTTCCGTATACTCTGCAATCCACTATGATGTGAGGACTGGGGACACAGGTTAAAAAATGGCAATGACCATGACGTTTGTGGTCAATTCTTGCTCCTTTAGGGGAAAGCAGCATGTGTGTGCACTGGCCATGCAACGGGGCTCACTGCATATGGAGCCTCTGGACCCTGAGCGTGACCACTGGGCTGGAATTCCAAAGCCCTGGTTTCAATTAAATTTAAGTGGATTTGACTAAAAGTTTGAACTGATGCTAATTGGTTTTCAAAACACTGGGTAACAATAAGCATTCTGGCCTTGCCCAAGGACAGACACACCCATTTCTGAAACACGCTCCTGGGTAGCAGGGCAGTCAACACACCCCTTACCTTGCTGGGCACGGGTCCAAACTGCAGGACTTGAGGAGCTGTGGGGGCCGGCGGCTGGTCACGCACAGGTTCTCAGCAGCAGGCTCCCGTGTCTGTTTGTTCAGGCAGCTCACCACAGCCTCCTGGACACCTGTGTACAAATCACACTGTCAGGCCAGAGTGGGCGTGTGTGGGTGATGAAGTGTAGACAAGGCAGCTGGTGGGAGGTCCGTGCGATTGGTAGGACTCTCACCGCATGTCAGAGACAGCAGTGCAAAGCCCGGCACTGTCCATCTTGTCAAAACTCTTATCTGGGAGAAAGCAGCGCCTTTGCAAGCAGCCTCTGCAAACACTCCAGGAGAGCAAGCCCCAAATGGGACAGGATGCCACCAGAACCTCTAAAATGCTTTGAGAAACGCCACCAAGCTATATAACTGCTAAAGTTGAAATGTGATTGCTTAATGCAGGAGAACAGGGTGACAAAGAAAAATAAACTGTCCCAAGATCTTCACGTGTTATCTTTTAATCAAGAGATTGTTATGTTTGGAAGGGAAGTCTAGAGTGATGCTTTAATAGCCAGTATTCTGTAAACGGCTGTGACTCTGCGGCTGGTCATCCAGGCCTTCAGCCTTTGCTGGTTTCTTTTCGATTCCGGTTCATTTCTTTGGTGACCAAGGGCAGCTTTGGAAGTTGGAAGAAAGAAAGAGAACAAGGGCTAAAGTTTTCAAGGGTACCAGAAAACTCCTCTCCTAGATAAGTAGAACACAAATTTATATTACCCCAAACCAATAATCATAGCTGAACATAAAAATCATCTTCAGGGGTTTAGTGCTAAGTTTAAGAGGCATTGTAGAGCTACTGAATTCCAAATTCTAGTGTTAAAATGATGGCTTCTTCAACACTGTTTTAAAATGTCTATTGCCACACGGGCCAGTTGATTCAATATCCTTAGGTAGGGCTTAGGGTGATGGGGGAAACTATCAAAAAGAGCTCTGTTATAATTGAGAAACATCTGGGATTGGTGATGTGGTCAACATGCATGCATTTTTGTCACATGCATGAATGAAATGCCAAAAGGGCAGGGCATGCTAAGCTGAGCATGCAATTTAGGCTAAAGAGAGGTAGTTAGGGGGTGCATGGAGGAAGGAAGTTAGAGCTGAGCTAGGGAGTTGCCACAGGCTGGGGAGTGTGGGAAGTTAGAGAAGGAAAGAAATCTCAGGGCTTCACCTGTGAGTCCACAGTATACTTGTCCCAGGGGAATCAGGCCAGGCTGTGATAAGTTAGCTCACTGAGCATAAAATTATCATTTGTGCTCTTTCCAAAAGGCTAATGTGCTTAGAAGGCTGTTTGAACCAACACAGATCACAGGTTCAAGTATGGTACAGCAGGTCCTTGTCCTTGAATAATGCTGTTTCCCTCATCATTTAGCCATAATGATGACAAGAAAAAAAAATATCCTGGCAGATGGTGAGCTAAATAACACTATTTGTAGACCTTGTTTCATTATATGACATTTCATTTAATGTCCAAGAAACTTTTGATGATGCTAAATTAGGACTTACTATACTTTATGATTCTGAGTTTTCCTTTCTTGACAGAAGCAAAAAAGGAGAGAGGACTCATAAAGAACGATAAGTAAAAGGCATAAGTCTTTATTCCTGCTGGAGTCAGTGCTAAATCTTCTCTGGGCTAGATTTTAATGTTGTTTTGACCATGAAGGCGTTCAACCTAATAAAGCTATTCAGATTCAGATCAGCTCTCCCTGACCACACCTATTAATTCACATATGGGAAATTAAAATATAACAAGGAGATGATAGTGGGATACAGGGCACAGGTCTGAAGGAGTTAGGCTCACTTTCAATCTTCTAGAAAATGGGATTTTCAGTGCTCATATCTCCGAGAATAGCATAATTGTTACATGATATTTGATGACAGCTTGGGAAAATGCAGCCACCAACTACAGCCTAAATTACTAACTCGATCCTTCTGGTTGCTACCTCTGCTAGGTGAAAGGTTATTTTTGTGTCTATCAAATTTCATCTCTTGAGATTGCAAAAACAATGAAATTAGCTTGACCGGCCTTACAACCCCAAATTGATTTAACATCTATCTGTTAATCCTGCATGTTTTTGGTTGGCTTCAGCAACAACAATGATTAAAAAAATATATAAAGTTGTGGGCTCGATTTTGGTGGAAGATCAAAGTTAATAATACAATAAAATGTTACTGCCAAACAATGACTTCAAAATGTACATATCCTGTATGCTGAAATAGCTTTTTAGTGAGTATGGGCATCATATGGACCATATAACTCAAGCATATTTTCACCACTTTGGAATTTTCAACTCTAACATTTCAGGCGTAAATATATTACCTTGGCACGGGATATAGCTGTAGGTAAGTGTGCACAATTGTTGACAGTTAAAGACTTAAGATATTTTAGTAACTTTACCCTGCCTTGGATATAAAGCATGTACAATTTTTGTTATACAAAGATGCTCCGTTCCCACAGGCAGAGACCAACTGTTTAACAAACATCCAAATCTTATTTCCAAATTAATATCTTCTGAAAATATTTTAAATTGAAAACATTCCACATCCTCTCTACACTTTGAATTTTATACCCCTGGTTGATCAGCAGAATGGTTAGAATCTTAAAGATAAAGGTATCTGGCTATTTATATATTCCATTACTGCATCTATTTTTTCCATCTGCTCATAAAGTTCCAGGCTTGACTTGTAACCGAGAACTGTAACTAAGAGAGACCATAAATAATTTTTTTCAAAGTACATTCGTTTTTTAGACTAGCGATAATGATCATTCAGTTCAGGTGATCGCGGAAATTGGAGATGAACACGCACCATGTGAACACTGAGTCATTTTGGAAAGAAGCAACTGTGGCACTGGTTTCATCCCTCCCGGTGACCTCTCAACATCTGCCTGAGCTGAGAGTTGACCAAAACTTATTAAATACCCTCCCTCATTAAACTTGAGAGAAGATGCCCTCAAAGTGAGCAGATGAGCATCGTATAAGCACAGATAAGCTGAGCTCCAGGAAGCTGTCTTCTAGAATCAGATGGAAGAACTTAGGCTTTAAAATAATAGAGCTTTCCATTAAAACACTTCAGAATTTCATGGTTTGAAATTGGAAGCCTTGGAAAAAAACAAGAACCTCAAGGTCAAACCTATTAAATGCTTATTAAAAGACTTGATGGAGAAAACTGATTGTCTGCTAGTTCTTATTTCACTATTTATCCTTTTCAACTACATATGAATAATATGGGCACAAATATTCTTATTTTCTTCATTACAACAGACCATGCCTTTTAAAACGTTTCCAAGATGTCATGTCTTAGAACACAGTTTTGGGAAATAATTTTAATACATTTTTTACACCAGTTAAGAAACTTTTCTGGGATTGCAGAACCTTAACATTCCAAAATGGGTTGATAGGCAGTGAGAGGGGTTGGGCAGGAAATCAGTCAGTATTTCCTCACCTAAAATCTCTCTCTTGAGGGCAGATATGGGTGAGTGGCAAGATGAAGCTAATGTCTTTTCTATAGTTGCAAGAAAGATAGTAATCTTGAAGAATTAACTGTTGATTAAATGTTTTCCTCTCTCACTACAAACCCATTCAGAACACCTGAAATAATCACTGAATCTGTCGTTATCATCATGGAACATACCTGACAGAACTGGGTCAGTACACACGGAAACATTTAACATTAGTTAATTAACATGCCTAACAAGAAAGCTTCAGAAAATCTCTAAGTGCTTGAAGAAATGTGAAATGATAGGAAGAATGTGGGCCGAGAAATAAAGAAATAGCTGGTCTTGCTCTAGCTGTCACACACTAGCTTTGTGATTTCGAACAAATCATTCAGCTGCTTCACATCTTAATTTTATCACGTGTAGAATGGTGATGGGGTCAGACTTTAAGCTTTAAACTCCTTTCCAGTTCTAGGCAACCACAGTGTTAACCGCCCTTTATACGCCCATGCCCTTTGTAAATAGATATTATTTTGGGAAATCTGCTGAATAAATCGTAACCTGTTCTTGGGAATAGCAGGGTGTTTTGTCATCTTGGGTCTCGGTTCATATCACATTCACTGAGGCAAGGACATAGATAAATAAAACAATGTTGAGAGCATTGCCAGGTCAGTGTCAACTTTGCTTCTCAGTCAGCTGCGCTAGGATAGATTGCAAAACATTGAAATGACAACTTAAAGTAAAAGCATTAGTTGTGTTGGCCACTTGAAGCTGACAGCCTGAGAGCCACTCAGATCCAAGGAGAAATACATCTGTGTTTCATTCAGTATGCTTTACATTTAGAAAGCCTTTTTCTTCCTCCCCCTGCTTATCATTCTTGGACTAGCTGGAGTCACGTGACATGGTTGCAAAGCAGGGAGAGGGGATACAGCAACAGACAAGATGGTAGCGGGGATCTGAGCCAGAGTTCCCCCTTCTTACCTCCTCCACATGACTCGGAGCACTTGGTGAAACCCTCATACTCCCAGTCATACAGCTCATCAAAATCCTGCAGGCCACCGAAGAGTCCATCAGTCTCTTCTGGGTTAAACTCAGGGGTGTCCCCGTTGCATGGTCCTGCATAACAGGCACGCTGGGATGCTGGCTTGGGACCTTCACATTCGTCCACAGGCAGGTCAGCCACGGACTGGGAGAAAGATAGGAGCACCTGGCACCGGACTATTCTCACCTGAGTCCCCACACCACAGGTCACGGTGCAGGCTGACCAGGCCTCTGGGATGAACCTGCAGTTGGCAAACAAACAAGAGGACAGGATGAGAAGCCCTAGGCAGCAGAGCGAGGGGGGAGCGAGAGGCAGCATTCCACCTGCCGCCACTGCCCTGCACCGTCCCAGGATGGGCTCAGAGCTCTGCCACCCTGCCCTGCGATGGGCGCTTCAGTTTAGTTTATGAGCTCATTTGCCACTGTTTCGGGATTGGTTTCTTCACGAGCATCATGTGCACTCCCAGCTGCAGCATTCCAGCCACAGACCACCTGCTTTCTCCCTGCTTACACCCCCAGTGGTGGCTCTTCAGAGCGAGGAATTGGTGGTTTCTTCTCTCTCACACTAAATCCCAGCACTTGTGCCTCCTGCAAGATGCTGGCTATTCTTATAGCAGACTAATACTGATGCTAAAAACTATAACAAAATAAGCCCTGGGAGATATTTAAGGAAATACTTTTTTTTTTTGTCTGGATCTCATATTCTGTAACTTTCTTTGCTTTTCTGCTCAATGTACTTCCCAAGATTTATTTATATGTATAAAGAGGATTTTTTGTGTGTGTAAGTTTCCAAGAATGGAGCAGTCTTGCTCCTCTCACATTCTTTGAATTAGTCTGGACTACAATTCTTTTTATATCATAGAGAAAAGCTGTGCTACAAATTTAAATCCCCAGGCATGCCACAGTAAATGAGACATTCATACAAGTTTGTTCAACAACCTCGACTCCCCCATCCCCGAGAGAAACTACATTGGTGAGAACTGGGTTTTTCCTCTAAGTTTTTCTAAAATGCAGGAGAATGTCCAAATTCCCAAAAGATTGTTTTCCTCCCAATCATCAATTATGGCCATAATTGCAATGACCTTGAGAGGGACCTAGGGAAGAAAGCCCAGAGGGAACAACTAAGATTTCCAAAAAGTCAGTACAGTAATTTGAAGAATAATCTTTGGAATAAAAATTTTATTTTTACATGATCCTAGTACTTTCTCACAGGGTGTCCTGCTGAGGAGGCATGCAAACCTGGCTCCTCAAGCTTGACTTTGGCACAAAAGGAAAGAAGTGATAAGAAGGTTACAGCATTATATCCTAGCAAGTGCAAATGGTTCCTATCTAGTTTAGGAAAATTGAAATTCTAACAAGAAACCAATCCAAGTTTCAAACTAGATGGAACGCAACAAAGCTATTTCCTGGGACTGTGTGTGGACCTAGTAGAGTGGGCCAGGAGGCCAGATGCAGTCTGAGGCCTGCAAGGAGAGCCTTCAAGAAGATTCTGGTCCCGCCACCTTTGAAGAACCATTCCCTAAGAGAGAGCAAGGAGCACATGCAACCTTGTCAGGAAGGTAGATGAGGGAGAAATGGCCACCCAGAAGTATTCTCAAGAAATTCTTATCACAATTTCAGTTCTCTCTTACTTTGAATTCTTAACCCCACCTTCTGACATCTCAAGAGGCTTGGAGAAAATAGTAGCCTAAAAAAATTAAAGAATACCATGTATAGGAACTTTCTAGAAATATAAAATCTGAATAGTTCTAACTCTCTTCTCATGCATTCATATCTACCTGCTGCCTTCAAGAACAAGAATCAGGACAAATGTACAAGCACCGACATTTACAACACAGATGTAGACATAAACTATTTTCTTACATGCTAAACTATATACTATATAAGCTAAACTAACACTATTTTGTATATAAGAAAAACATAAAACAATAGTCCTGCAATTTTGGCAAAGGTGTTAAGAATAAAGCTTCTTTAATCATGTGGTACTGAATATTGTTTTCAAATAAAAAGATGACAAGCGCGAAAAAAATTGTATCCTCATAAGGAGCATGCTCTTATTAAAGTGACCTTTTCAAGATAACAAGGACAAGTGAACTTGATCTTTAAAGGGCCAAATAGAAAATATTTTAGACATTATGGGCCATGTTTGTGGGTCTTTGTTGTATATAACAACAAAGGTGGGGGATGAGAGAAGGGTCTGAATTTGGCCTATGGGCTGGAGTGTTCCAACCCCTGCTACAGAACACTCACTGAGAGCCATATGTAATTTCCAAACTTATTTTAGGTCTAAGGTTCCATTTTTTCCCCCATGCTTATAAGCTTATAAGAATGACAAGTAGCTAAACTGATTTTTTTGTGTGTTTTATTTTCCAAAGCAAGTCCCAGATGAAATGTATACTACGAATGATGTTCGAACTAAATCCTCAGTTGGTGAGTGTGCTGTTGTAACATCTGAAGGGTGATAACATATGCCTTTGAATCATACACCATGTTGTAAACCAATATTAGCTTCATAAAACAAAATGAAACAAAGCAAAAAATCAAAAACAAAGACTCCTCAACCCTCCTTGCCCATAATGTGAATGAATCTCTTTGCATAATCTCTTTCCGGGGTAGGAAAGATACACCAAAAACACACGAAGTAGAAGGGGCATATTACCAAAGCCACAAGAACTTGTTGCAATGGTTGAAACATGCTTATTTAATGGCAGCATCTAAATGAAAAAAAGAAAAGTGTGCACGTGTGTGTATATTTTTGACTATCTGAACGTTTAGAGTTAATAGCAAAAACAATAAACATCTGCTTTATGTCTCCCAAGTGAGAGTCTTATCAAATGTCCAATTGCCTTACTGGCTTATCTCCCACTATACTTAGGTCTTCATCAAGTTCACACCAATTAAAAACAATTTGGTATTTAAGTGGGGCTGTCTTTTGGCAGTCATTTTAATTTCTCTAGTGTATACACTGTATGATATAATATATTCTTCCTTGTTGAAGGCAGAAGATTGTATTTCAAAAGAAAAATATCTAGTAGTGCAAATGGCCAAATGAATAATAACTGTTTTTCACATGAAACTTTCCCCCATGTCCCTAGGTCTCCCAGCTCTGTATTTACTATCTTGAGCTTTCTGGCCACAAGTGGGAGGAAGCAAGGTCAGTGGGAGGGCAGGCGAAGGACTTAGGAGGCTTAACTGTAATGTTTTAAAGACTCATCTTGACTAAGATTTGCTAAAATTGGGACCTTTAAAGTGGAATCCCAGTATTTTTTTTTTTTTTTTACTTAGTATGCTAACCATTCTGGTGCACAAATGTACAATGAAAGGGTTTTTATTATTGACATTTAATTTGGGTAATTAAAAATGTTTGTCAGCAGCTCAATTGTGAGCTGCATGAAGAATGGCTGGATAGCGAGTTCTTTAAAGGATGGCTTAAAACTTCAGAAATAAATAATATGATTTCTGAATTTAGTCATACCATCTCCAGGATGATAAAAAAAACCCTGACAAATAATTTATGCTTCTGTCTGCTCTTCTATTACAAGATTGATTTTCATTTCATTAACAAACAGCTTATCATTTAATTAGAGCTATCACCACAGATCCTTTAGTGCAAGAGAAAACCATTATAATCAAATTCACTTGTGAAATCCCAGAGTGGTTCAGTTTATTAGTGGCTATTACAGAGTCATAAGCATAGCCTGAATAATAGAAATAATCACTTTATTAATACAGTATTAAACAGGAATGATTTACTCTTAGTAACTTAGTCTCATGACACTGTAGATATTAGCCAGAAGTAGACTAGTTTTAATTATGCATGATCTGTGAACTAAGAAACTTAACTTTTACTTTTCTCCTCTTACTTTCTTCCCTTCTCCTTTCTCATACATGTTTGTTTCAAAAGTTATTGGTATTCAAAATAAGTGACTTAATACGTGTGTTATTTTCAGGTTGTTAATGGCCTCATCTTCTTCTCTAGTTTCAAAATCCAAATTGAAATTTGCTGGAAATCACATTAGAAATACTTGATTTTGGTTTAATTTTCAATCTTACTACATTTGAGCTATAAGTTGACAGTGGTTGTGGATTTTTTTCCCTCCTCTGGTGTTTGTGTATGAGTGTTGGCATGCTATCAGGGTGAGGACAGAGGAGAGAATAATCTGAGTACTGTAGAAAAAGATAATAAAAGACTTTAAGATGGACCCAAAAGATTACAGAATACCCTGTGAAGTGCATCCTTATTAGTTATCTGAGCCTGTCATTGACTGTGAATGCTTTTCCATTCTATAAATTGCACAAAACTGATAATACAAATAATTCTTGCCCACTGAAATACACATTGTCAGCAGAATGCAACTGATTGAAGTCCTGTGGATATACTCACTCTGTACCTACTTGAAAATTCATTTCAGCATTCTTATTTGCCTAAATCTGTACAGTTCTTTAAAAATGCCCTTGAATTGGCTGTAATATCTTCTTGTTTCTTTATTAATTAATGAGGTAAATAAAATCTTTGACAGATGTTTCTGTTACGTTTCATGAGAATCATGGTTTTTTCCCTTTTAAAATTTTTATCATTTAACTAGTGGCCACAGAGGGATCTGGAAAATAGTATATTGGAAAAATAAAATATTGTATAAGTAATTCTACCCCAAATTAACCAGAAAGTCTTGTACATAAACACGTCATTTGGGGGCAAAAAAAAATCCCCATACTTTATTGGTAAGGATGTTATTCCAAATTACTTCATTTTATTTTTAACCCAATCCTTTTCTTTAGTTCTGAAAAGTCGGTCTTTTCCTGACTCTGCACAATGCTTTAGACATTAATGGAGTAAAATCAGAAAAAGGTGCAGTTATTGAAACTAAAGCTGGGTATTTTGGCATTTGGATAAAAAATATATGGATATATGAATAAGATAGATGCATGAAATAAATGCTGCTGGTTGGGGAAGAAATTTAGAAAAGAGAAAAGGAAACTTTCATTCATTTACTTTTTACTTATACATGATTCAAAATATTACATGCAAAACCCTTTAGATATTTAGGGTCTTTAAATGAAATTCAAGGTAGGATGCTTAAAGAAAACCTCCAAAATAAGTCAGCAAAGAAAAGAAAAACTTTGGAACACTACAAAGGGAAGGCAACTCTTTAATTGAATCACTTCAGGAATTTTAGAATTACTTTTAAAACCCACAATACCAAGACAAACTTAAAACGATAATTTAAAAATATAGCTAGAA